TGCATCCAGAGCTTGGCTGACATCTCCCATGAGTAGCTGTCCCATTCCAAGGAGCATGGACAAGATCCAGCCCAGGGAAGCAGATGTTTTCAGTCCCAGAACAGACCTTATCTAGAGCCCAGCCTTACAGCCACCAGAGTCCAGCTCAAGTTTACATTAAGCTGAGATATTTTCCCAGACTCAGTTCCAGGTGGTCACTGAAATCCAGGTCTCCTTTTTACTATGAGATTACTCATGGGATGAGCAATCTATTTGCTGTTTGAAACTAAATAGCCCTTCTTGCATGGCATCCCAGATAGCTGGGACAATCTGAGAAGGGATAATCAAAAAAGAGAACTGAGAACGACCTGATAAAAACAGCCAGTTTCAAGAAGATTCTTTCAATAAAATCAGATGGTTAAGATAAAATTTTCCATTAAAAATATTTCTGGGGCTATAGAAATTTGTAACCAGGTGCATCTGAGCAGGATCCATCTCGGTTGATGTTAGTAGTCAGGAAATGAGGCCCAGCCTAGACAATCCTCCAGGCTCTTCGCTGAGCCAATGGCACAGGCATCTCCCTGAGGAAACACAACCCATCTGTCCAAGATAACTTTTTGGGGATGAAATGGCTCACCTTGTACAGGCTAAACACACCTCAGGGGGACAGGTGGGGCCACCTGCACGGACCCAGAGAGGAGCAAAGGCATGGTCAAAGCAAGCAGCCAAAGTCTGTGCAAGGAACTCAGACAACACTCCACAATAATCCTCAGCTATATTCAAAGACACAGGCTTAACAGAAAAACAAGATGATGAACTTGGTAAAAATTTTGTCTGCCCCAAAGGCAAAGTAAAGCTGATACCATGAAAGGGCAGAGAGAGAACTGCAGCTTAAAGTAAAACCATGTGGATTACCTTAGTCAGAAGCTGCAGCCAGACATATTCAAATGAGCAGTTAAATGCTCAGAAGCCACAGGAATTACCTGTTAGCACTTTTCTGGAAGTTGTGTTGGCCACTGGTAACTAAATGGGCCTGAAGAATTCAGAGCACACGACACATCCCTCTGACCTCGCATTTTTTTTTAAATCTGTGAAAAAAGGCTGATTTCCATGATTGGAATAGAAAGGCCAAGTGAGAAAAGGTATCCTCTGATAGATGCAGTTTCAATAAAGACATAAAAAAACACTTAAAAGAACTAAGAGCAAGGGGTATCATAAATAACAGTATTAACAGCATGTGAGTTGTAAGTAAAGATCCAATCAGTGTTTTTTAATACACCCTCTGAATATTATTTATTTAAAAGTGCTGTTCAGTACTTGTTCTACTCCCAGAGTTTTCCAACAGTTTAGAGTGGATGACATTCTCACTTAGATTGGAAGCCTGAGAGAGCATATGGAAAATCATTAAGTTTTGCAGCAGACCAAAGAAAGAAATCTATGGCTGAACTTAAAAAAAAATAATAATAAATGATACTTCCAACAGAAGTGATCCATAATGGATGAGAGTTGAGTAAAAATGACTTAACTGCTGATCTAGGGGAAAATAAAAACAATAGCTGAAGTGTTTACTCCACACAGCAAAGCAGCTGGAAAGAGATAGATAGGGAAAATAAACTGATTTGGCAAAATTCATTCCCAATCTATACCTGATCAATAAGTGCTTGTGGAAATTGTTGGAATATGAGGCTGCTGGCATTCAGCAAGAGGACATTAATAGACATCTGAGTGGCTGCAATAATTTATTAACAGCATCATCTCAGAATCTCATGACTCGACAGAGGCCGTGGTGTTGGAAGCACGGCCCCGTGGAGGCACTGAGTGTCCACCAGACTTCTAAAGCCTTTTCCAAAAGTGCCCCTTGCCTGAGCCTGACACACCCTGGGGCTGGCAGGAAGCTGTGGTGGCAGGGCACACAGTGGCACTGTGCCTGGGCACCGTCCTGGCCTGATTTAAGGGGAAGAAGGAGGAAGGGAGGGCTCCAGGGCTGGAGTTTCACAGAAGGAGGGACAACAGAGATGCAAAAGTCCTTCTAGAACCAAACAGTCATTCTGCTTCCAGCTCTCTTGGGAACCTCAAGGCTTCTCAGGCTCTGAGCCACAAACAAATTCTCTGTTTCAAGCTGGTCCTTGGCTTTTCCCCTCTCACTGCACCTCAAACTGCTGGAAAAGTATCCATGCAATGAAGAGCTGACCCAGGGAATGCTGAACTAAGTGGCCAGTTAACCCCCCTGGGCTCTTATCAACACCCCTGAGTCATTTGGGCCAAGAATGAAAGGTGTTGGGGAATGATCACAAGGAAAGGCTTCATCTGAGCTTTTGGGACATCAGTGGGTAGTGGGGTGAATATTTATCTTTCTAAAGAGCAACGAGGAAAAAAAAGTACATTCCCTTTGCAGTTGCCAGTGATAATGGATGCTGTGTGAGCTAAAAACCCAGCAGTTAAAAGCTACATTTATTATCACTCTATCTCACACCAGCAAATTTATGATCCCTTCCAGACCTAAAACATCAAAGCAGAGCAGGAGTCAGAGCCTTTTCAGACTGTTAGAGGGTTTTTTTTCCTTCTTCTTCTTTTCACATAGATTGCTTTATTTATTTTTTAAAAGGAGGTGGGCATTAAAACCAAAATCTGACCTTTGATCCCCTGAGGCAACTCATTACTTACAAGGGCAAATAGGGAGCTGAAAGTTTTTCCTGCATGAAACCGTAAATAATTCTTACATACGTCCACAAATCACTCTAGGTTGGTAAAGTAAATAGTAATTGGTGGGTTTCTCCCTAGAGGCAGGTCTGAAGGGGGTTATAGATTAGAGTTAGGGATTTTTTGCTTGAAAAAAAAACACTTTAAAAACCATGTTCCCCTCAGCTCAGTGCTCCAGATGCTCAGGTAATACATGAAGTTTCGGAGGGGTGTGTATGGCAGGGGTGTGGGGAGGGGAAGGGTTTGCTGTTTTTCTTATGTTAGTAACTTCTCATGTTGGAATTTAAGAGATTCACAACTTTAAGGGCAAAGGGGAGCATTAAAATAAAAAAAAAATTAAATGCCACGTATGCACAACAGCCTTTTCTGTGTGTTATCAACAAGGTTTAAAGAAAGAACCTTCCTCACAGCTCCTCCTGCAGCTCCACTGATTAGCTGGAAGGAGCAGCAGACTTGTCTCCCTGCTTTTTTAACATGTAACTACAGTCACACATTATCATCTTTCACTGTTTGATAAATTTTACCCAAAACATCTGAACTCTACCCAAGTTCAGAGGCCTTTCTGACCACCCCTACTATCGAAACTACTTTATTTAATAACAATCAGACACGAATATCTAAATAAAGGGAAAATATCCACGCTTGTTACTGGAAAACAGTTGTTACAGCAGACCAGGGAATTGAGTGAGAAGTACTGCACTGTTATCAACACCAGTGGAAATATTCCCATGCTGGAATTATCAGACCTGCCTGTCATCAAACCAGGACTGCCCAGCAATGCACTGTCACAGTGCAGGGATTTTCTCTGCTGCAAAGTCCTCTAAGAGCTTGCTGAGAGCAATCAAAGAAAAGCCATCAAATGCAGATTAATCCTGTGCAAAACACAGTAATCCCAGAAAAAGGGACGTGGGACTGCTACACTTTGAAGAGAGAGGTCAGAGCCACGAGGACAGAGAGAAAACCAGTGGGAAGCTGGGTGTTTATAAACACAACTGACACGTTTCTACCTGCATGAAATGTCTGCAGCCACAGTTATTTGCAAGGAGAAAACTGGTCCCAAGCCTGGCTCTATTTCCAAGAAAAACAACAGGTCATAAATCTGGATTTAATAATTGAAACAAACGGCCTGACTCCCAGCCAGGCTGAGCCCAGCGCAGAGAAAAAGCCTAAAATATTGATTAAGACATGGGATTTTTCTACCTGGCCTCTGACTTCTTTGAAACCTTCAAAGGCCAGTGCTAAAGCCACAGGGAGTTCTATCTTGGACAAGATCATGCTGGAAATTTCTCGTGTTCACCTTCCAGCCTCCCCAGTCCTGAGATCTGAGGCCTTTGGTGCTCCAAAGGACCACTGAGGGCTCGCTGAGGACCCAGCAGATGTGCCAGTGCCAGGGGCAGGAGCTGCACTCCTGCCCTCCTTCAAACCTGCCTCTCCAACTGCATCCCCTACCTCAGACACAACCAGGAGGTGTCAGGAACCCCCCCTACTGAAACTCAGAGCAGAGGGAGCACTTGCTGTTCCCACCTCTCTGACCCACAGCTTTCCACGAGGGATTGACATCCTGTGGTGGGGCTGGCAAAGCCATCACGAATCACAGGATCACTGAGGTTGGAAAAGACCCTCTGTGGCCATCAAGTCCAGCACTGCCAAGGTCACCACTAACCCATGTCCCCAAGTGCCACATCAACAGGCCCCCTCAAGGGATGGGGACTCCTGGGCAGCTGTGCCAGGGCTGGACAACCCTTTCAGTGAAGAAATTTTCCTCAGTATCCAACCCAAACATCCCCTGGCACAGTTTGAGGCCATTTCCCCTCATCCTGTCCCTTGTTCCCTGGGAGCAGAGCCCGACACCCCCTGGCTCCCCCCTCCTGTCAGGGGGTTGCAGAGCCAGAAGGTCCCCCCTGAGCCTCCTTTGCTCCAGGCTGAGCCCCCCCAGCTCCCTCAGCTGCTCCTGCTGCTCCAGCCCCTTCCTCAGCTCCATTGCTTTTCCCTGGACTTCTGAAGTTGGTCCTGAATTGCTACAGTTCACACACAGAATTCCTAAGGTAAAACAAGCCAAGCATTGGTTTACTTTTAATAACCTGGGTTGAAAAATACCATCCATTCTGAGTGTGTTTCACAAGGAGTTCAGTCATCCCTCCTAAAATAATGACTATCCAGGCCTTTATTTTTTAACTATATAACAATAAAGTGATTTATTTTCAATCTCCCGGTGAATCAGGAAATTGTTGCTATTCCCAGACAGGGAACAGAGACAAAGGAAGATTAAACACCCAAATATCACACTAGAAGCCTTTGGCAGAGTAGGAAACTGAACTCACCCCTCCTTTCTGAAACGTAGCTCAGCTTCTTAGGCATCAGCCCATCACTCCAGCCCTCACGTGATGCAGACACACGTTCACCTTCTGCAGGGCTCCAAAGCACAAAGGCAGCAGCCAGTGAAAGATTCCTGCTGGCCCGGGCTCAGATCCTGTCTGGACTGAGGGAACAGGTTTCTGGTTTCAAAAGGAGCAGAGTTGAAGTTGCTTTCCTTCAGTTGCAACCTTTTTAACAAAACAGAGATTTTTCTCCAGCAAGTAAAGCCATAAATCAGGACATCTCCTGAGGTTCTTTTTTTTTTTATCTCCTCTTTTTTTTTCTCCTAGTTAGTGTGCCCTCCCTCCCCTTTCCATCCCTCCAGACTTACTTCATAAACATTAGCTTTCAAGCATCTCTTTCCCCAGAGGACGTATCATAAACATCATGTTAAATATTTAGAACAGGAAACCACCTCACTTTTCTAGCTACATAAAAGCTATCTTGGGAGGGTGCATTTTCTGTTCTTATGGCTTTTATATATTTATTTCCTGGTGCAGATCATTCCAATAATCAGTACATTTCCCAGGGATGTTGGACAAGAGTGTTAAGAAGTTCCCCAGCACCCGAGCAAAGGAAACTTTGCTACCGGACACTTCAGGGATAGGGAGAGCATCTCCTGCTCCATGTGGGACTTCCACAGGCCTTGGATAGGCACTGATGCAACTACAGAGCTGGGAAGAAGGACTCTAACAAACCTTGCAGCACTCCCATCGTCCTCTTTAACTTCCAACTTCCAGCTCGTTTTCCTTAACTCCTCCGAGTGTCCCCAGAAACCACCACGTTAACACACAGCAAAGATATTCAATAACAGCCAGGCACTAAACACCACTGAGCACCATAAACACTGGCAGTTCCAGGCTTGGTTCAAAGCCTGGAAGGAGTCAAAGGTATCTGGCACAAAAGGCTTTTTGACAGCTCTCCTGTGAAGTGCCTCGTGCCCTCGCCCTGCTTGGATTTGTTCATTCAGATCCAAGGCAAACTGTCCAGTCCCAGTTAAAGGCTGTCCCTTCCTCATCTGCAGCATCCTCCCACCCTCTTGTCCCTCCCACACACATGGCAGCACCTTGGGACTTTGGGCAATGCCAAACTCCAGCTCTCTCAAGTACAGCAATCCTCAGAACAAGAGGGAATGGCTTCAAACAGAGAGAGAGGAAGTTTAGGTTTGATATTAGGAAAAAATTCTTTAGTGTGAGGGTGGGGAGGCCCTGGCACAGGTTGCCCAGAGAAGCTGTGGCTGCCTCTGGATCCCTGGGAGTGTTCAAGGTCAAGTTGGATGGGGCTTGGAGCAACCTGGGCTAGTGGAAGGTGTCCCTGCCCATGGCAGGGGGTGGGACGAGATGGGCTTTAAGCTCCCTTCCAACCCAAACCATTCTGTGATTCCATGATTCTGTGGCTTCCAGGGCTGTTTGTTCTTCCCATTCCTCCTTCAGAAGGGTGGTGGTAGAGCCTGGGGCTCCTCAGGTGCACACACACCTTGGGCAGGTGCCTGCCCTGTGTGACAGGGCTGCAGTCGTGGCAGAGGCCCCAGCTGGGAGCTGCCTGTGCTCAGGAAAAGCCTGAGCTCCATCCCTGGCTGTGTAAAACAGCACTTCCCTTTCTTTTCTGAGAGAGTGGGAGAGCCCAGACGGACAGACATCCAGAGGGAACTCAGACAGAGAGCAGGCAGCTGGATGGTGTTGGCCTGGTCTGTTCCCTTGTGGGGCAGGGACTCTGCCACCTTCTAGGGCAGCACTGCCCCCACACACACTGACTGCCCCTGAAGTACTGCTGAGACCTTCACCACACCCCCAAACCTTCAGCTATCCAGCTCTTTATACTCTTGGGAGATTCCACAGAACCAGCCTAGAGACAAACTCCCCCACAGTGTGACCCTGTGGCCGTGCCCACCACATCACCCAAGGTTTTGTCCAGTCTCCCTTTGAAAACTCCCACTGGTACACACAGACTCCTCCAGCAGACAAATTCATACCCAGAAAAATCTCCCCTTTCCACATCTATTGACCATTCCAAGCTATTCTTGCAGCCCCTTAGTGCTGTGTGCTGCTCATCTGAACCAAACCTGCTGGACTCAAAACCCTTCCCCAGAAGTTGGTCTCTGTAGACCTTTAACATTAATTTACTTTCTCCTAAGCTTCCAGATTTTGATAAGAGGCTGCCCAAAACGCAATGCAATAGTCCAAGCAGCCATCTAAAGCGCCAAAGCCACGGAGAAAAGAAAGCAATGATCAGTTCTGCAGCCCCCAAATTACTTTTTTTCTTTCACAGCACATTGCAAGGTCACAGTAATTCATTCTCCACCCTCACCCCCTTCATTCTGCCTGGCTGAAACTCAGTTCAGCTTCAGGGGGAGGCACTGCAAGGGTTTGGCAAACCATAATGTCCTGCCTCCAGTCCTATTTTGAAGATTTAAAAGGTGCAAAGGGCTTGATGTTGGCTTCTCAGATGTGGGCAACCCTCGCCCATTGTACATAGGTGAATCAAATTTTCGGTGATGCAAACTGGAAACGCCTGCCAAGTATGCACGCAGGAGAAAGAAAAACAAAGATCATAAAGATTTATAGGTTGCTTTAAAATGCATTCACCCTAAACCATGAGCTGCTCCAGCAAGCACTACCAACCTGGCTGAAAAGTTGTGCTTCACATGAGGGGCTCACTCTGCTGGAACGGGAGCTTTTGTGAAGATCGACAGAATTAACGAGCTAAAAACTTGGGGGTATTAGTTCAGTACCTCACAACAACGATAAAATTAAAAGTTTTATGCCTCTGATTTATACGTTTCAAATGAAGAAGGATATTTTAGGCTCTCAGGGCGTGTTCTTTATGCTCGTGCACAGCACAGAGTTATACTGGCTGGTTTCTGTGAGGTCCCTCCAAAAAGAGAAACCCGGCAGTGTAAAATGTCAGTTGTGCGAGGGTCTAGATCTGCTTTAACCAAACTCCAAGCTGAAACAGAGCTAAAAAAAAAAAAACCTCTTTCCAAGAACAAATCCCCTTGCCACAGTCCTATTGCTTCCTGCTTTTAGTTAGGCTAAAAATGAGGAGAAAAGGCAGCATTAAAAGCGTGTCCACTTCCAGTGAGGCAGAAGTGGGATCATGAGTAGAAGTGTGCGAAAATAAAACGGGCAAACATCAAAAAATAACAACAGATCATATTTTGTGATCAGTTTGTTTCGGGCAGGAAGGCTGAGGCTGGTTCTAATTTGAATCTAACCAGTTGGCCAGGCCCTACCTTATATATTATCTTTGGAATGTGAGTCATTTTGTTGGCTTAGTTATTTCTTCTTCTGTAACATGGCACTCCTGACTGCAGCGGTATGTGGGAGCTATTTTTATTGGGTAAGTAGTGAAAGGAAGTGATGGATAGAGCTGGTTGGGAACATTTCAGCAGAACATTTTTTCAGTAGAATTTCCTAGTTGCTCCGGTGTGAAGTTCTTCACGCTGAAAGAGCCGGTTCCAGGGAAGTTTTTTAATCTGAAAATGACACTGTAAAAAAAAATTTTCCAAATAGCACATTTCGGTGCTTTTAAACAAAAGTGTTCGACTGCCTCGCCCAAAATTAGTTGATTTTGAAGTTAAAAGAGAAAAATTAGGCTGACATGTCACTGGAGAAAGACCAGCCAGGCCTGATGAAGGAGCCATCCCAAGCATGCAAAGCCAACTCTGTCCCCTGCACAAGAATGCACTTGATTATTTTCCCCTTTAGGTTTTGAGCTCTTGAAAATTTTCAAGGCTTTGGCTTTTCATCTCCCTTCAGAACAGTAGCTCCTTTTTCACGGCCCCTCCAAGAATTTCAGGAGCATCAAAACCTTCCACTGTTTTGTTTTTCTGGTAGTTTGTTGGGGTTTTTTTGGCAGAAGAAGCAGCACAGTGTGTGAGCAAGGCCTTGGGAAGGCAGAATCCTCGAACCACCTCCCGATCGGGGTCATCCTGGTTCTGCAGCGCGCTGTGGTGCGGTCAGATGGAGATGGTAAACCACATGCTGGAAACCTCCCAGTCCCAGGTGCCCACAAAAGCCAAAAATTAAAAGGGTGTATCCTCAATGGATGACCAGCCACTCCTGAGACCCTGCCTTTCCCTGTGGGCTTTTCGTAACAGCTTTCAAAAAGCAGGGCCAGCTACAACTTAAGCAAAGCTGGCCAGTGATCTAGGAAACTCTTCAATTATAGATGAGCACCAATAAACAGCCGGTGATTTGCTGGAAATTATGAAGTATAAATAATTGAGAAGCAGGGAGTTGGCCCAGAGGTACCCTTCTCTCTTGCTGATTCGTCTTAATGCATTTCCTTGATGCAGCTCCCTGCTGTGTTCCTAAGGAAGGCTGTGGGAGCAGCAGGATAATGGCCCTGGAAGAATATGCTGACCTGCTTGTGCAGAGTTGGAAGTATCTGACCATCTCCCAGGCTGAAAGGTGCAGCTGAGGAAAGGGGGTTAACCCAGCGAGCCACATCGTCACCCCACTTCCCGCATGGAAATCGGGAATTCCACCTGAGTACACAGGGATCCTCCAGTCCCAGAGGACAATGGTTTGACAGCAGTTGGTGTGGAAGGACTTCAGTCTGTATTTGCTTCTTCACGGGGTCCTTAAAGAGGAGATTTGATCAGTGCAGGGCAGGAAGCTGCCTGAGGATGCTCAGGGCTGTGCTGGGAGAGGAGGGAGTCAACTGTGGATATCCCAGTCTTCCAATCTGGATGGCTACGGTCTGCAAAGGCTTTTCAAATATAGCCCCAAATTAGGGTAAGCAAGCCTTTCCCGGGGTCACAACTCTTGGATAGGGCATGGGACAAACCCCAAATGCCAACCCTGCAGCTCAGCAGGACCCCAAGACAGCAGCACTGCAGAGAAGTCCCTCCCCAGGGGAATGAGGGTTCAGCTGGAGCTTCACCCTTAATGCAAAGGGGAAAAGTCCTTTGGAAAAACAGGCCAAAATTTTCACCTTTGAGACATTTCTGAGGAGTTTGTCAGATGAGGAAGTTGTATTAAGAGAGGATAATTTCCTTCTGTGCTGCTGGATCAGAGATAATGAAAAAAGCCAAGTGGATGTACAGCAAGGCCCTCAAAGGGGCCCATAAAGAACCAAGAACACCTCCCCCTTGCTCCACCACGGATGGCTCTAAGGGAA